GTAAGAACTGAACTGAATTGATCCGAACAGAAAACGGAAAAACGTTCTGCAGAATCTCTCCTTTCACGGTTTATTCATATTTATCATTTGTGCCTCGGACGAGATACACAACGGACGTGGTATATCATGAACACTTGGAGGACACTGATGGATATTCGGTGCACTCGGAATACGGGATCCCGAGTGATGCATCGCCAAGATGCGTGCTGTAGGATGTTCCCTAACTGAAACCAAGTTCGATGATTTTACGTATCAAATGGGATTTGGTGTTCTGATCCACAACCAATGCGAATTCTATCCCAAATGATAATCAGTAATCGCAAAGAAGTAGGCAAATTCTGATTTACTAGAAGACATTCGGTTACAGTTCCGTCAAACCTATTTTCCATCAGCATCATCATCATCATCATCATCATCATCGTACAGCGAAAAACAGGGAAACGGACATCACTGATCGTTATCAAGCTCACAATGCATATGCATTGGAGTTTGATGGACGGATATTGCTAGGGTATCCAGCCACTAAGCAGGGGAACAATTTCGTTTCTCAACCAAAGCCTTTGGTTCCCAAGAACCTATCCGCAAAGCGGCGGGTGAAGTGAACTGGAGACCCATTTACTTGGATCGATTACTCCTTCACTATTTTTTACCGACTGAAACGCAAATTCTAATCGAACCCCCAACCTGGATTACCAGGAGCCTGGATTTCATACGACCTCTACCCTTTGACCTTCCAGGCATGATGAAGCCATCTTGTGTAGCTCCATGGGTCAGAGAGGTGCACAAACCATCACACAACGTCAAGGTGCAGTCTCGTTGTGACTATCAGCAAAAATTGTGACTGGTCACCTAATCATCCGTTGGCTTCACAAACTGTCACTGATCGAGGAAAATAGTATCTTGGCTTTGCTCTCTTTCTCTCTCCGATGTGTACACCAATGCAGAGACCTGAATACGCGTGACTTTTGACAGGTGTGACGCGGTCCCACCTTTTAGATAGCAGTATACTTTTTAACCTTCGATCAGCATTTTATAAGTCTATCTAAGCATTGTCATGTTTGGTAGAGATCACGTGAAGCGGAAGCACTATTGTTATGGGGTGTGACGGGTGTGTGTGTGTAAGAGAGAGAATCAGTCTCGTGCTCTATCTGACAAAAAAATTCTAAAAATAAACATGGCAAAGTGAAAGTTCCTAGACCGCATGTACACACATACAAAAACAGATAAATAGTAAGAATTTCGCTATAGGTCAACATCGAGCGATACTAATTGTTAGTAACACGTTATAAAATCAAACGCTAACCCAGTTGTTTTATCCCTGTAGCCAGTATAGCCTTAAGCGATGAAGTGATTATAGAAACATTCAAAAATAAATTGTATCATGCCAAATAGACTTGATCAGTCGATATTCCCCAAAATAGAATTATCGATTAAAGAATTGTTAATGGACCACAATGGATGAACTAACTCACTAGTCACATCAGACACGGCTCGTTTGTGGCTTAGGAGATACGAGGCAGCCGAAGGTATTTCCATAGGTGTGTGTGATTTCACATCAATCTGAGTCACGCGACCAGGTCCGAATGCTTCCACGGAGGACTTGAGCAGAATCGGATCAGCTGATCGCTCCGGCGTCGGATTGCACGGATTAGCAGGCTGAGTGGTGGAACACGATGAACTGAATGCAGGAAAAGGGGATTGAGTGCAAGTTACAGAGAACTAAATCCAAACAGCGATGCAGTTATCAGATAAATGCACACAAACAAACCAAATACACAACAGCACAGGGATCATTATAAGTAATAGTTTTAATGGAGGGTGATGGTAGTTTGCTTGGCTGCCGTTACAGCGCTCATCTAACGGAACAAATCACAATTAGCAAAAGGAAAAACAAAGCTCTGTAATAAGGATTTCCGTGTGATAGCGATCACGGATTACATCATCAAGAACAGGATAGCGTTTGGGCGTTTTGTAGTTCATTTCCAAGAAGGAAATGAAATGTATAACAACCGCAATCAAAATAAGTACAACGATTCTCCGTCCGCACTACGGTTTTGGTAATACCAATGAATTTTTGCTGCAAGACAAGCATTCACAGTACAGAGTGCGTGATCAGAAAGGTTTACCAATGGTTAAAATTCAAGCTGATGACGATGAAATTCCAATATTAGGTCAGATATTATCAAGGCAATCTACTATGTAAAAGGACCGGCAGTGATCGTGACAGCAAAGTAGACGATTCTCTTAATGGTCACCGGGGTAAATAAACGATCATTCAAGTAAAGCAATACAAAATGGTCGCGGGGAAAATGAACACAAGCTTCACATGACGTAGTCTGAAACAAGGGTGTGACGGATACGACCAAGTTTGAGCGTATCCGACCGACTGGAAGAAGGATTCCGTGGATGTATGGACTGAGAATGGTGTTCCACTCAGGCCAATATGTGACAGGTGTGCATCACGATTACCGCACTACGACGACAACAAAGCTGCCTATCACCAAAGTTCGGTGGCAGTGTCATTGAAGAAAGAGGAAATTTGATTCAAAGTCTCAGCAACAGAAAATTTTCTCAGCTGATGCAATTCCGAATGAATGAGGGTTCATACACGCCAGGTTTTCCGACAAAATGGAAACCCGGATGGATTTGTGTAAAGCATACTAAAACGCGATACACACGAGGGGGGGGGGGGNAACTGTTGGGGTACAAAAGAATCCAGTTTGCATACCATTGCAGTTTACTGGTGACACCATGACAGAGATAGTAGTCGAACGTTGACAATTGCGATCAGCCAGACTTTCCATGCAGTTAAACACCGATTCACCTTTGCATCCAGGCCAGTCCTCAGGCTGCAACTCAAAGGTAAATTTCCTGTATTTACCCTAGGATACACTAGGGCAACAAAGTCAATTATGAGCGCAATCCATTTAAATCCTGTCCAGTCAGGTGAATTAGTCAAGTTGACCAGGGCGTTTTCGCCCACTCTACTCGATGTGTGGACAATGATCTAAGTGGATTATAAATTTCCTGCACTGTACACTTTGAGGCAATCCAGCAACAGACCAGATCAACTCCATCGGCGATAGTTGTGATATTAATGTAAGCAATGCAAGTAGTATCCAACTCATCTAATCATGTGGAAGAAAAATACGGGGACTGGAAT